CGGCACTTTGCCCAGCTCCACCTACCAGTTCCCCCAGCTCGGTCGTCTGCGAAAGCAGCCACTTGACGACATCAACTCCCCGCCCTTCCTACCAACTCTCATCCTTTTCCACATGCGACAACGCAGCACGCAGAGCCGCCAAACCGTGTCTATGCAGTCTGCCGCTACATACACTCTTCATACCCGTCTTCGTCAGCATGTGGCGCCATATCGGCGCCCTCGCTCCCTTCCCACCCTACGAGCCCATTCATCGCTCCATTATCGCCCGCTTCTTGAACCGCAACGGCAGTGCCAAGGCTTGGGGCCGAGTTGGGGAAGCCAAAACCCACTCGACATGTATTCCAAGGACGATAGGATTCGTGAAGGCCGCCAAGCGTCCTATGGCCACCACAGCCCCGCTTTAATGCAACGCGGGCAACTGTGCTTCCTCAAATGACTACGCTTGCTCGACAGCCGGCTTTCGAGACCCCATCTTCCCTCATCTCCGACTCCCGACTTCCTAGCAACACCACCGACCCCGAATCTCCCCTCCGCCACACAGAACCAAGCATTCCGTCCTTCCACATCATCTATCTTCAACCCCTCCTTTCCCTGCCCGCGCCAGCGCCCACGCTCGCCATCTCCACCATCCACGCACCCTGCGGCCACTCTTCCCAAAATGGAAAGGTCACGTGCCGCCCGCCGCCGAAAAGCCCTCGATGTATCTCGACGAGCGCGCGCCGTAGGGCTCTGTCGACTGTATGCGGCGCTGCCCCGCGTCGACTTCCTTCTATCTATTTATTGTGGCCGGGCTGTGCGCCGCGGAAGGCGGTCGTTGGGCGCGGTTTTCGTCGGGCTTTGTGTGCGGCGGCGGGAGGTGGATTTGGGGCGGAGGAGGGGAAGGTGTGGGCGGGTGGTGTCTGGCGTGCTAGGGAGGAGATTGGTGGTGTTGCTGGAGTGATTTGGGGCACCAGATGGGCGCAGACGACTAAGCTCTCGCCCCGCGTTTGGCACTCGAAGAAAACGAACTTCAGCGCAATTTCGAGTCCTTGTCGTCATTCTGCGGCGGCGAGAGCTTCTTTACGAAGGCTCTCATAGGATCTGCGCTCCCATTCTCTTTCAGGTCATCTTTGCGATGACGAGTTGATATCGGTTTTCTCGCTCACTTGAGTAAGAGTGCATTTACTACTTATACTTACTATATTCTCTAGTACTAGTACTTACTTTACTCTATCTGTCTGTCGCGCTCCGTATACGATACGAGTAACTCTCAAGTAGGACTGTTTCGTTTCTACTGCTACTTGCTCTAGTTCCTATACGATACGCGTACATACCGTTCTGTGTTTTCGCTACTTACCGTATTCTGTATTCTTGTAACGTCCCTACCAACTCCAATATGATGCGCGACGCGCGCGCACCGTTTCGATTCGCCAACCAGCAACGGCGTTGGCAGGCGCAGCTTCTAATGAAACGACAGTGCGGATAGAGGTCCCGAGATAATGCGCCCCCAGGCTTCTCTCTCGAAATTGGCGCTCGAGTGGGAGCATGGGGAGTTGGTTGGGATGGGATGACAGTAAAAGCGGGAGAGTATATCTATCGCGAATTCCGGTTAGAAAAAAAGACAAAACACGAATGACTACTCACCATTAACAGCAGTGGCGCCCGCCGTTTGCTCCCATTTCTGACTCCAAATGCTCCAGAATTATGTTCTGAGCGATTGCCCGCTGGGCGGCAGAATCTGAAATGCACACAGTCAGTACTTTCGACTAGCACGCATATGGCGCACACTACCGACGGCTTACCTTCCGGTTATTCCTATAATATCAAGTGCTCCGCGTCGCAAGCTGCTGCTCGTCCTTCCCTTCGTCCGTATGGCCGCCAAGCGGAGAACCAACCAATGTCGAGTTGACGTTGCAGCATTATATTTCGAATGCGACACTTGCGTGGAGCAGACGCTCGCGGTCGGGTAAATGAGCAGGTCAGCACTGTTGGGCACGGTCAATTCCCAGTATCCCTGCCCATCAACATCGCTCACCTGTTCGCAGACCGTCTCTGCGCGGAGTCGCCATCCGTCCGCCGACTCATTCAAACAAAAGACTTGTCGTCTACTATAGGCTTGTTTCCTCCCTTTTAGTGAGTATAGCGAGAGTCGTCAACAAGCAGCTTGTCCTCCAAGTTGCTTAGTCTCGGCTTCATGCGATTGAAGCTTTGGAATAGGTGAGTTTGCGGACAACGTGTTTTGTTTTGCGAGCTTAGTACCTGGAATACCTCCTCAGACAATCTCTCGTCCTCGAAGGCCCAGCTCATCGCTCACTCACACTCTCAGCCTGAAAACGCCCACCTCAGTTCGCATTGAACGTATTGATCAGCACGCTCACCTTCCGCGACTACAACACATTCCTCCCCAGCAACACGGTAGCCCTCTCGCGTCATGTCTGCCCCGCCCAACGCCAACCACGACCTGCAATATCGATGACGAAGGGTAGTTTTAGATTGTTGCCATACCTCTCGTTCAACAGACTGACCTTGTCCCACCAATAGCACAGTAGCCACTACAATGGCCCCACACCGTCACGGCCGCGACCCTCCTCCGTCCGAACTGCCGCGAATCTCCCCCCAGTACGAGTGAGCGCCGGTAGTATCGATCTGCTGTAAGTTGCTGACGGTTGTGTCGTTGTCAAAATGGCGGGTTGGGAGGTGCCGACAAGATGAGAGCCTGAGTAGGAGAGGCAGGCCTAGTTGACGAATACCACCCGCGCTGCTTCCCGTAAGCCACATTCGTTGGCACGAGATGAAAACGCTATTGAAAAACAATCAGTTGGCCAGGATTGAATCTAACAAGCGCACCCTTTGGCTGACGATGGGGCAAGTAAGATGTGCACAAGGCAACAGGTCGCGAGCCCGCAGCCGCGGCTTCTCCAGTCAGAACACCGACAAACGCGAGAGCTGGAGGCAGTGTCAGCAACAAGGAAGGCGGGTGGAGACGAGCCGTCCCGGACGGGCGCACGCAAGACGGAACAGGGAGGCGGGCTTGACGGAGCGAAAAGGGCAGGTGCGACGCGATAGCCATGGTGGTCGAGTCTAAAAGCAGCGTGAGAGAACGACCGGCGTGACCGGGAGTGTGACCCGGAGCACGTGCCGGTTATCTCCGCCTCCTTCATATCCCGCTCGCGCTGCCGATTAGCCCGCGGGGGAAGACACGGCCGTGCCCAGCTACAACATGGGCCACTTCGTTTGACACATGGGCCGCGCCCACTTATCGGGCCCGCTAGCAAAAGTCTGCAACACTGACAAATGTCGCCGCTGGGGCCTGGGCACGAAAAGCTACCCAAGCCTGCGGCAACTCAACCTGCTAAAACGGTTAGCATGAGGACGATGGGAAAGTAAAGTGAAGATTCCTGCCTCTCAATATCAACTTCGCTCATCCGGCCAGCGGGCAAACGAAGCAGCAAGTATGCGCCGCAGAGAAGCCGCCCCAGTTCAGGCCGCGCCACGATAGTCGCCAGAAGGCAGGACACACTCCGTATCGCGGAAGCGCGGAGGAGGTCGGCATCGCATGGAATCGGCGACAGATGAGCGCGAGGCGGCGCACGGCCAGGTTGGCGGGTGACGGAGCGGGAACGAGGAGGGTCTCGGTAATGATCTTGAGGTGCAGCTGGTTGGGCAGGGTAGGGAGCAGGGCTGGAGAGGGTGAGTGCGCGACATGAGCGGGTGGTGGTGGATTTTGGTGAGAAAGTAGTTGATTGGGAGGCACGCCTTGAGACAGCATTTGGTGAGGAGTGGGACTTGATAAGAAGGACTATTCGCAACAGCGATAATGACGGCGACACACCTTAAGCTTGTCTCATTATCCAAATCATGCTCCCTCTCGAATCGAATATCCAGCCACCTCAGAACCCTTCTGTCCCAGATTCTGGCGTTGATCGAATGCGAACCGAGCATCTTTTCCGCGTCAACAGCTGAATGGTCCAGTCAGCTAGCTAACAGACGCAGTAAAAATCACGCACCCACAGCTCAACGCGCCTTGGCCCAAACCCTCTCTCGCCGCCACGACTGTCTTCTGGATCCTTCGCGTTGTCCGGCCGACCAGCGATAGGGTCCAAGAAACTATTGTTGGTTTTCGCAAACGGGGGTGCAGACCTGGGAGGGAACGAAAAAGAAATCTTCATGCAGGCGGTGTGGAAAGGAGTCCTCGTTTTGACGAGCGGAAAATTTCGCCTCGACATCTAGAAGCGAGTATTTCCGAGTAAGCAGGCAAAAAGTGTTCGAGTATCGAGTAGCTGCACCTGCCACGGGCATACGCATAAGCCCACCTAGAAGAAAACGAACAAGACAGCATCGCGCACCGTCTCCCTTCCCCCCAGAATAAAATCCCTCTCCCTTCGCCATCCGAAAGCTAATCCACGCGCCCATCCACCACTCGTCCCAGCAGAGCCGTCATCGGTCGTCCAAAAGCACGCTGCAGCCAAACGCTGGACGCAACGGTCAGCAAAAACAGAGAAGTAAGCTTCTCGAAAAACGCACCTCACAACCCGGGCATGGGCCAGCCAGCTTCCTTCCGCATGGCTTCATCGTCCCGAGGCTCGTCAGCAGCTGTCCCTGCGTGATAGCGCGCGTCAACGGCGGCGGGCATCCTCGATGGTCGTGGTAGAAAAGAGAGAAGGCGAGATCGGCCCGACGCCACGTCACACGTGATAGCGTCTTTTTTTTTTTTTTTTTTTTGAATCACATTTATATACCGCGTACAAGTATGCGTGTGCTACTAAGGCGCGGTGCTCGGAGAGCAAGGGCCGGGGTGGGTTGGGTGTCATTTACTGTTTTGTGGGGGTTGATGTATGGGTTTCCGTGTGATTGGTTGAGCAGCGTCTGGTTCGCTGACGTCCCGTGAGTCGTTTTGGCGAGCATAAAGCATGGGGTCATAGGGGGGCCATAATTGGGCGGGTTGGCAGTGAAGTTTTCGTGTAAGAGGGCTCTCCCGCCGCTCTTGGTCGTCTTCAGGTCTACCTTCCATCCGTCTAACCATGATCCTCGATGCCGCCCGCATCATCTCGTCGATCTTTGACTGCCTTCGACATATCTGCTGGTGTGTAGGACGAGCGCGTAGAGTGTCGGGAGAGAGTCGGGGAGGGGCACACGTGTATCTGGACCACCAAAGGTGCGTCGAGGGCATTTTCCCCTCTGTTAAGTCGCTGACCTTCGTCCTCTTCAGCCCTCTTGACGTGCTCTAACATCTCTCAACCCTTGTATATGACGATACTTAATCCAGCCCAGCTGCCGGGCCGATGCCCCGGGAGGGCGAGAAGGTGTGTTATTTCAGTCTCTTCACGCCCATTTCGTGATGCAACTTTTCCAGCCTTCCGGCCCCGACTCCCCCTCTTGCTGCTCTACGCGTCTCCGAGCACTTCTGGCCTGCAAGCTGTGGGCACGGTTGTCGCACTTAGGCTGTCGAGCAGTGGCCAAGAGAAACAATGCCCTGCCGGGGGATTTTTCATCACACGCCTTCAAAGTTATCCCTCTCAAACGCCGTAGAGGATTATAAATACGCAGCCATGGGGCATGCACGAGGTGCGTACCCGCGGAAACCGGTTTCTTCCCACTCTCATCGATGGCCCTCGTCAAAAAGTGCCCCGATACATGGACGGAGAATGGTGTGCAATCCACCTTTGACATCGCCTTCTCATCGACCTCTTCGCTCACGGGAACCACGGACGTGTGCGGCTGGGGCTGGCGCTTCGCCTGGGATTGCTCCAATGGACCAGTCACCGTCTACTTCGACCCGCACCTGATAGCAAATGCCAAGTACGGGCGGGTATCGTGCACTCTGTCTACCACGGGCCTGGTGGCAGAGATAGACGACATGAACACCTTTTCTGTCAAGCTACCGCTTCCCTCCGCCGAGCTACCTCCACATACGGCCAAATGGCCCATCGGCAGATGGTCCCGTGTCAAGATACTAGTCCGGAAAAGCAAGTCGTCCAAGTCCGAGCGCCAATACCTAACGTCCCCTCCTGCTGTCTTAACCATCACCGTTACCTTCACGCGCGCACACGGCTTTGCTCCTCCCCAACCGCTCACCATCCGGACCCGCCTCCCATCCTCTGAAGAGCCACTCCCCACACGCATTCGCGCTTGCCTCGCCGACACAATCCACGGCGGAGAACTTATCGACGTCAAATTCTGGCTTTACTCCCGCGTCGCGACTGGATACGTGTATCATCCGCGCCCGCTCTATGGGAACCTCAAGCTTTTGCGCGCAACGTCAAAGCAGTTCGACCAAGGTAATTATATAAGTCTGGGTGCTGCTTATATGCGATGCTGACCAGTTACCGACTCGGACAGATCTCGACGACTTGCTGAGTGGTTTCGCGGAATCAGGCCAGACGGACATCGCCACGGACAAGCCGCCCCAGGCCGCGTTCGAGGAGTACGACTACGTGTCTGACAGCGACATGGACGACGATGAGGAGATTGGCGGAGATATGATTGTCGACGAAGAAGGTAGGTGGATACTCATCACGTCCTCTTTGCTTGTATCACCTTGTTTAGGCCCCAAAATTCCAGAGCCAGAGTCTGTGGCAGGTTCCAGCACACAGATAATGCAGTCCCAGGCTGAAACTGACTCACAAAATGTTCTTGGTCGCCGCGGCTACCGCATTGTAATCAAAGGCCATGCGTATAACACGTTCGTGGTCTATTGTTGCCGTTTTATGGCTAGGGCTCCAACCATTTCTGTGTACAAACGTTTGTACACGGTTATAACCATTTTTATTTTCATTTAGTTTACTATGGTATGTAAATGGTAAATAAATGAAAACAAATGGTTTAAATGGTTATTCTCTGATAACAATAGCAGACATGCTCATAACTATGTTACTATCAGGTATATATCTGGCTACCAAATACACACTAGTGTAGGACATACCTTCCACATAAATATAGATAGTTGTTACATTTGTAGGCTTCTTCTTGAAGGAATCCATCACATGATCTGGCATCAAATAAGCCAAAGGCAATGAATCTGCCCTACAGGCCCATCTAGAACAGTATTACAAGTGAGAAAATGCCATCTTTCAGTTAAATAACCCTTATAAACTCAAGTATGTACCATAAAATTGTTGATCATTTCATATTATTATATTACTATTTTTAACTGTTTTTAAATGGTAATAAACGTTTACTAAACATTTTCTTACCATTTCCATTTAGTTTACCTGGAGGTGTAAATGAAAACTAAATAGTTGGAGCCCTATTTATGGCTCGAAACTAACAGCTTATTAAAGGTGGAAAGCATTGCTTTACTACCTCTACACCGGCGACATCCACTTTCGCAAGATCAAGGCGGGGAATGGCCATTCTCCCACAGCCAAACGCGACGACGGTGCCCCAGAATGCTCCCCGAAATCCATGTACAAGCTCGCAGAAAAAGCGCGTTTTTGTTTCCACCTGCCCTTGAATTCGCTGAAACTTGAGCACTACGCAGCATGGCCTCGAGGACCTCAAAGCCCGCGCGCTCGAGTCGATCCGCTCTCAAATGTCGGTGGACACCATCGTCCACGAGGCGTTCTCTAACTTCACCGCGATGTATGTCCAGTGTCTCTGTGAGCTTATTCTAACGCGTCCGCACAGGTTCGACGAAGTCAAAGCCATGCAAGTCGGCTTCTTGCGGAAACATCTACGCGACGCGGCGGTCCGCGAGAGCCTGACGGGCATGTTGCTCCATCTGTGTGACGGCCGCGGGTCGTCTGCCTCCGCTGCCGTGCTGCAGGACGTCATTTACGGTGTGGAAGATGGTTTCTCCTCTGAATACTAGTAAAGTGGAGAGGGCGAAAAAGGTTCCGGAGAGATTGGTGTTAAGAAATGATAGAAAAGAACAAGAGCCTGAGACGAAGAGATAAAGTTCCATGGTGATTGGACAAATCAAAGAAGAGAAGGAACTAGTAGTAGAGTGTAAGACTACTTGGGAAGGAAAACAAGAATGATATAATCCAAAATGCTGGAGTCGTGCTTGATAACCAACAGCATTGGGCAACTTGAACGACGATGATAGAGCGCTCAAGGCGCAAATAGCCAGACAGTGGGAAACGCTTATGCGTTATGAGTCGATAAACAATGCGGATAGGATGTTTCAAACATCATAGAGCGGAGGTCCTACTAGTAGATAGATGCTGCAGACGTTGAGCATGTTTGATAGAGCAATGACCAGTACTTACTAGTACTGGCTATTCTCAGTCTCGCGCATGTTCCTCACTCGATAGCCTCCGATCCTTACATCACCCAGCCTTCCTAAAGTTGTCGTTGGATAACACGCATGTGCTCTTCGTTGCGGCCTTGAAGTCTGGGAGAGCAGAGTCAGCAAAACGCGGCAAGGAAGAAGTCCAGCTTTCACGCACCGACAACCACTACTCCCCAGCTTATTCTAGCGCCGTATACAGTGAATCTCCCGCTCGCAACCTGTCTTCCAGCCCTTGCACATCGTCGTTATATCGATGCAGGGTTTCGACGCTGCCTGTGTGCTCGTTGGGGCTTACTGCCTCGCTTTTCTATGATTAGCGTGAGTTTTGCCCAGCATGTTGACGGGCAAGCATTACCTTCCTCGTCTTCCTACCTCACATCTGCATTATGTTCATCGTTTCCGTGCCTTTATTTCCTCACTAGCGTGTCGCGCCTTTCTCGCCAAAGCGTTGCTAACTTCACTGCCGATATGAGCTGTGAGATGAGCGAGCGCCGGAAGGAGAGAATGAAAGAGCCGCACCAAGGCCGAGGTTGTCACCGCGCTGGAGTATTAATATTGTCGATGAGAGTGTGGCAGTGGGCCGGAGTAGTAAAATGTTATTCTGGGCCGCATCCGAGCATATACATGCGCGTGGGATGAGGAGGTCGCAAACGCGCGCGGCGAGAGAGCGCTAGCAATCCCAGCCAGGAGCCGCCACTATCGCTGGCCTTCCCGGCAGCAGGCTAATGAGAAGCTCGCGTTTGGAAAGGAAAAGCTGTCTCCGCCGTTGGAGACGACCGCGTCGGATTCGTTGGTTGTATTAATACTTCTGTGTCGCTGCTGCTAACAAACAGTGGAGACATTGCCTCCGGATCCACGAAAGTTCGGCCATTGTTCTGGGAGATGTCGAGTGGGGACTACAGCTTTCGATACAGCAGATGCAATGTCCGCAATGAACGCCGAGCGGGATATGGGAGAACGAGGTCAGCGTTGTTACTACCTTTCCGTTGCTGGGCCTGTCTAACGAGCAAGGTTTGCGGTCTGAGATGACGATGACGATGAGTGGCGTGAAGGAATTGGAAGGAATAGCGGGGCAATTGTGAAGGGAAGGTACAGGGGAAATAGTTGAGGCGTCTGCGTCAGGAGAGGACACGCGTCAAGGACCGCTTGGAAGGTAAGAATGCTAAGTTAGCATGCGAATAAGTAGCGCACTCCTCTCTGGCTTTCGTTCCAGCTTCGTTTCTCCCTTCACGCTTCCTTTTCGTCACGGTCCACATCGGCCTGCTCCACTTGGCCGGAAGGCTCTTGGTGGCCCGCTGCATCCAGACCTGACAGGCACTGTAGCGGTTTAGCTTGAGTCACATCGCCAAAAAAACAAATCAGCGCACCGCGAATAAAGGCACAACTCTATGACCGTACATGGGCCGAGAATCAATACCAGAACAGCGGGGCGAAGCAACATGTTAAAACAGCAGGGGTTGATTTGACTGGTGAAGCAGAGTTATGACTGGGCTGCAAGGAGTGTAAGCACAAGTGCGGATGGAAAACATAAAAGACGCACCCGCCGTTTTCCCCCACTCTTTGTCTCCCATATTGAGGTCCAATCCCCTCCTTCACCCAAGCTCCACAGAAAGCCGTTCAAGAGCAAGCTGGTCCTGCGCGTGCGGTCAACGAAACTTGAAGCGACTACCGGTGCATGCCCAGAAGGCGCACCACGACCGCAACGTTTCCTCCTAGCATCGCCGCATGGTCGCCAGACCAAAATGCTGTTGGAAGACGCTCCCGACGCCGAGCTTGACGCAAAGAACATAGCTGCAGGACGAATAGCGCGCCTGTGTCAGGGCGCGTCGTCCGCGCTGCAAGCCTGCACTGAAAAAGACCGCGCTTGCTAAGTTGTAACTTGTGCCCACCGACAGCCTTGGGGAACGTGGGTGTCGAGGACACTAGCGGCGCTGAGGTTCTGGCTAGGTGGGGAAGATTTCGAAGATGTATTATCGAGCGAGTCTGCAAAGAGAAAAAAGTGAGTAAACGCGACAAGCCAAAACAGCTTATTTGACGCACCTTTTGCACCATCATTGCACCTCCAGCCTGAGCACCATTTCAACACGCTCTTCCAGTTTCTCACATCTGTCCTTTACCTCCTCCACTTCGCCAGCTCCGGATTCCATGCTCGTCCTGTGGAAACCAATCGCGTTATCGAGGCGGGCGAAGACTGACACGTGGCGGCTTTCGCGCGTGGTTCCCGGCGGCTTGAGGCGCCTCTTCATGTTGATCGCAAGACGCGCCGCACAGGGGAGGAGCCCGCACTGTCGTTTGACTGGTCGTGGTGCGGAGCCAAGATCGGCGGGTCACATGCCCTCGGGCCGATCGCCGCTTTTCTCTTCTTCACCACGACCACGACCAAACCGTCCACACCCTCCTCCCCGCTTGGTGGCACACGAGGCACGTCGTTAGGGCTGGGTTGGGCAGCGAAGGATGTTGGGCCGTTCTCCGAGGTGTGTCTTTTGGCGCTCATTGCTTTGCTGCTGTCGCTGACTGTCCCGCCCAGCGTCGATTGCCTTTGGAGGAAAGAAGGCAGAAAAGGGCTGTGGGCATGGGTGTGTGGCTGCCGTAGCTCTGGTGCGTCCTACCAGCATCCCGCGCCGACTTTCCTGACGCCTTTCAAGTTTTTCACAGCCCGTTCTTCACTATGACAGCTTGACATAGAGGCTTGCGCCGGATAAGCGGGTCTGGAAGCTGCTGTGTGGATACTACTAGTATACGCGCGAGTATAACTGGACAACGGTACGTGGCTGCACGACTCACTCTCAAACGCTTTCTGACCGCGCTGTCGTCAGACCTCGCTGCCAAACGGCGTCAGCCGCCCCCACCTCTTCTACGCCCTCCAGCTGCCGTCGCGTAGGGTGCTTTTAACGCATAAGAGGGTGGCGCGGCATACCCTCTTACTCTTCATACAAACCAGACCTCTCGACTGGTCGCGGAGAAGAGCTCGACAAGCGCAAATTGCTGAATACTCTGCGAAACACGGACATGGCCACCCAGGTCTGACGCGCTTTACGCAGCGCCAAATGACATCTCCACCGACCTTCAGCTGCCAAAGCCACCGTATGCTCGCTAACCTACGACCGACCTGTTTCGGGCCTCCGACAACACCCTCGAATCCACCTCTCGCTACCCGATCGCTGCCACTCCTCTTCATACACCCCAAGTTTTTCCCCCTCCTCCTGCGCCAGCACCCGCCATATCCCCCAAATCCACGCCATAATCTCTCCTTCCTCGTCCTAAATTGGCAAGTCACGTGCCACATCGCCTCCGCAAAGAGGTCGATGTATCTTCACAGGCGCAGCGCGTATCGCCGCAGCGACCATATCTCATGCTGCAGCATGTCTACGGCTTCCTGCCCAATTCTTACTGCCGGCGTATTCGTGGAGGAAGGCCGTCGTCGACGTGTTTTCGGCGCGGCCACCTGCGAGGCCGGAGGGGAGTTTCTTTGGCGAAGAGGTCGGGCGCGGGCGGGCGGCGGATGCTTAAGAGTATCCTCGATGGTCTGATGATATATGGGGGCCTGTTTTAGCTACCTGCGGGCGTGGTATGACTTGGCTACAGAACCTTGCATTCGGGACTCTTTCCAAAACTTGTCATCTCCCTCTATGATGCTTTTTTTTTTTAATCGGCCCATTAAGTATCTCTCAACTTGCAATACTGTCCCACTGAGTTGGTGCTGGCGAGCATAACCACGAATGTGTTCGCTGACATCGATATGGGATGTGACGGCGTGACTTCCTTATCCGCCTTTTGACTTCTACTGCCACGTCGCCAACTTGGAAGCACACCCGCCGGCGCTCTGAACGATGTTACATCTGACACCGGGAGATACTCTTCGACCTGGCAGCTCCCCTCACTTTCCCTTCGAACTATGGAACACTATTTTCAAATATCACAGTCAAGACTCGCAGGCTTATCCGACAGTGGCGACAGAGGGATGGTGGGCCTCGGATGAACTCCTCAACATAAATGTCTCCGCGCGAAATGCTCTCTTTAAAAGAAGCATGACGGCGCACTATGGCCTCCGCCTCGTCTCCCGCACTTGGAACGAAATCATCCTCACCAGTGCGGACCTCTGGACGACGATTCACGTGTACATTGACAAACAGCAGACGTACATGACCTCCAAAGTCATGCAAACCATTGTCTCCCGCCATCTCCATCGTTCCAAAAAGTGTCTTTTGCGTGTGTCCATCTGGGCTGACTTGAACTCGGACCTAGTGGCTACTACAGCAATACGCCGGCTCAAATTAAATCAACACTCCGCGCGATTCGCCTGGCTGGAGCTCATAAACCTCCCACACTCTTCCGTATCATACAAATATATCATTGCCGATGTCTCCAATCTGGAATCATTCTCCCTGTGTTTTGAGGACTCGAACCGACTGTATGGTTCCAGCAACAAGTCCTTCGCCGCCGCAGTAAAAACGGCTCCTTTGCGCTTCGTCCGCATTGCTAGCCCTCGTGCTAGGGAGTTCCAGGTCTTCGGGAAGACCGTGGACTGGAGTCGTGTACAAATCCTATCATGCAACGACAGCCATAATCTGTTGCGCGCGATGGCCACTTTGGACTTCAGCAACATCACTTCCATCGAGCTCTGTGCCTTTCCCCGGTCGTCGAATCCAGTCCAACCAGAATCAGGGATTGCAATAACCACCCTCCCTCGACTTCAGTCACTGACCATCGACTGCGATACACGAGATTGGCACCTTCTCTTAGCCAACGTAGTGCCAACTGTCCTCGAGTGTCTCACTTTGCGTAGTCCACTCTATCCCGAATTAGGCGCAAATCTACCTTATTTAGAGCACGTCTTTGCCTCGGGGCAGTACGCCAGTGTCACAGCACTTTGCTTAGATCATACCGCCGTGACGTCCGACGACTCCACCCTCCCTGGCACCATACTGGCCAGCCTCCCGAGCCTGCGCGAGCTGCAAATCCAAGACGAAACTTCCACAGCTTTTCCAGTGGTTCAAGATTTATGTGATTGGGCCCATCAATTCATAAAAGAACGCCGCCTCCTAGTCGCAAACCGGGACCGGGACGTCCTCCCAGCGTCTCTCAAGAACATTCCGCTTGCACGACTCCAGACCGTCATCTTGGAGCACGTGGACACGACAAGTTATCGGACTCTTTACCCCGCAGATCTTGAAAAAAATGTGGATCTGACCCGCAGCTTGCGGCTCCGTCTTATTTTGGCGGGACTGAATGAGCTCATCTATTGCCTGAATACACTGGTGCCCTTAGTATCTGGAGTGGGAACGGAGACTCAGAGAAAGTTCATAATTCGTGGATTCCATCCCAGTTTGCGTATTGTGCTGCATCCTTGGTTGCGGGCCGGGTCTTGGAAGTATGATAACGCCGGCGGAGAGGAGGAGTATTTCGCGCTGGTTTGCGAAGGCGTGGACTAAGGCGTCAGAAGGTCTAAGTAAAAGCTTCCATACATTGGTATCGTATAAGAGAAACAATGTTGTATTGCCCAATCCCGATACTGTCGTGACATCAGTCAGTGCAATGGCAAAGCGACGGCGTTGAAGAGATGAACGGGGATGCAGACATCCCAGAGTAGCATACACCCTTCATCCGACCAAACGCCCGGCGGCCGCGCCTCACGCCAGCCATTCACCGTCTACGCGCTCACCGCTCTTCCTCCAAAGTACCTCCCCGCGGCGCCGATAAAACCCTACCCCACAACAAGCTTCCAGGCCCAGATAGCCAGACTGAACGAGATAGGCAGAGCGAGGTTGATGTGCGGCAGCCCAAGGTACACTCAAAGAAGCGACAGACGCCGTAGTCCTCAAGAGGTATCAAGAGTATATCGACGGCCTTCCGGCGGCGGAGCGGAGGCCGGCGTGGCACGTGATCTGGCCGTTTTGGGGAGCGATGGCCGAGGGCAGAGACGGATGGTGGAGGTGGCGACGGGTGGAGGCGAAGTGAATGGGAAGATAAGGAATGGGAAATTGGTGAGTTACATATTCGTTTGCTTGTTCGTTTGGCCTTGTATTCGAGTCATAATCGGCTGGGCAGTCATCCACCCCGAGGTCGGCTGTGAAGAGAAAATGCTTGACGCGGGGCGGATGAGGGGAGTTGGTCGTCCGTCGTTGGCCTAGCGCTGAAGAAGGCTTCTCGCTTGCAGCCTTGACCGCAACGACCATTTAAGCCGGAGCGCCGAGTCTTGAGCGGGGCGGAATAACGCCCTCGAAAACTTGAGCATAGAAAAGGCAGCGCCTGTCGCGGAGGGGAACGAAAGTGGATGAAGTCTAGTATTAGCAAGGTCAGAATGTATCTGCGAGGAATTCGGTGCTGCTACACACCTCTCTCGCTGACTGTAGTTTCTCGCGCATGATAGCTCTCCCGCAGGGCCCTGTCGCCTCCGATTTCCAGCAAACCATCTTCAGGAATCGGCTGCAAAAACGTGTCAGCTCAGTCGGAATGGATGGTCAGCAGACATACCAAGGCGGTTCTTGTCTTTCTCGAAGATATCCCGCTTGCAAGAGCGAAGAGCGAGTATTGTCCGTCAACTCCGAATGACGGCCGCGGCGGACTGGTCGAAGGTAAGACTTTGTCTGAGTTGTTATTGCTGGTGTCGATAGACAGTGCATGACCGGCCCCGACACGATTGCTCTTCCTCCCAGCCCCGATGAAATTGCGCTTCCTACCCCTCTACATTCGCCTAGCTCCTCAGTCCGCTGGGGTAGCGCGCAATGCGGATGGCATAAACGGTGGCGTCTGTCGACCGTTCAAGGCCAAAGTAGCTGTATCGAAAAACGAGCGCAGGGGGTGTAGGAGTCGAGACGAATATCTGCATGAGACAGTGAGAGGAGGACGGAAATGCAGTGGGAAAGGCGCACCTCCAAACCAGCCTCTTCCGCTTCCAAAACCTCATCGTGTCGTCCTTCAATCGTCCGCCAGCTCTATCGTTTGCGCCCAGTTTGTGCGCATCAGGGTGCATGCAGCATGCGTGGGATTGGCATAGATGGTGGATAGTGGGATTCGGCGTAGTTGAGGTCTCAGGATGGTTGCATGCAGGGCCCGTCGATCTAGCAAGTTAGTAGCACTGAAATAAGTACAAGGAAAGTATGGAGGCGGACGACAACGCACCGCAAAGTCCAATGCGCATTCCAATTCCAGTGGGCAGGAGCTATCTCGGCGGCTCTTCAGCCTACGAGAGCCGCAGCGGGCCATTGAAGAGTGGCAAGCTGAGGCCGGCGCTGCGCGGGACAGT